ATCAAGTTGAAAACTTAAATTCGATTTCCTGGAATATTTAGAAGAAACGTCTAGAATAATCTCATGGTCGATCATTATTAAATAAGGTGCAATCATCCATAACCCAAATTTGGTATATTCTCTGACTGTATTTCAAAAGGCTTTGTCAGACTACTGTTCTACAATAAGATATTACCAATTTGATGATATCTTCTTATAAGAAAGTAAAAAAAAGAAAAAAATACTAATACTAAAATTATATCAAAAAAGAAAAGAGTGAAATAAATTAAAAAATCTAACAGATTATAATTATAAGTCTGTTTTAGGCTAAATAAAAATTATATATTAAAAGAATGTAATAACTTAATGAAGTTGGTAAGTTGTTACATTCCTAAATGGTATAACAAGAGTTCAAATTCTACTAATGATAAAATTTGAATTTTACAGAATAAATTATAGCAGATTGTTGAGTCAGTATCTGTAACCTTAGTTATACCAGCTTGTACTGTTGAGGCTGTGAAATATTAGTGTGATGTATAAGTTACACAAAACCTAAGTGAAGCAGCTAGATCAATCTAAGGATTGGAGTACACAAAAGCCTGCTTGGCAAGTTTTAAGTAAAGAATAGTACAGATCTTTGATGATACTATATAAAGGATTATCTAAGAGATCTGGATATCAATTTTAATAATCTGGATGAGAACTGAGTATTTGGCAAAACACTATATTAACCAGATTGTTAAATAAGTAACTAGAGAAAAAGAATATAACTGTAAAGACCAGGAGCAGATCATAGCTTCTCCAGACTATCTGAATTAGGAGTTTAGATTACTAATAAAACTTAGATATTAGTGATAATCTGTATAGTGAGTACTGGATTTAGGTAAATTTTACAAAAACAGAAGTAGGTAATAATAGCAGCTTCAACTTGCAAGTACTTGTTTTTGGACTTGGTATAAGTTACTGAAGTTTAGGTTAGCCGAATTGTAGATATGGAAAAATCTAGCAACAATGCTTTAAAAATAAATTAGTTTTAAAGCTATGATAAGCATTTGGGACTTTTCGACTAATAATATAGCAAAGATATCTCAATGATACAAGAGGTTGCATTATAAAAAGTTTAAATAAATAGCTTTCTAGTTGGTTTATAGGTATAACAAATACTGTAGTATAGTCTCTATGATGTAATACTAATATACAGACTACTTAAATAAACAATTAAAAGTTGTATATATAGCTAGTTGTACACTCTAATGTAATAGAGAGTTTCATTATGAGCCTCTCCACACAGTATACTTGAATAAAAACTTCTACGTTAAAGAGGCTAATTAAAAAAAATATATATATATATTAAAATATAAAGAAGCTCTGCATCTATCTTTATTCTAATAATATATATATAAATTAAAAAATCTTAATAACAATAAAAAATATAATTAAACTAGAAAAACTAAGTTCAACTAGGCAGGGTAGTTAATAGATAGTCTTAAAGTATTGTTTAAACAAATTACTGCAATTTAAAGTATATATAAAATTGTATTGTTAACAAGCATCATTATATTGTACAAAATAAGTTAGCTGCATGGTTATTATATTTATTTAATTGATAATTCACGAATCAACAGAACAAAAATTTTTTTTATAGGATAAATGTACATGTAACAATATGTTACATAGTTTATATATAACTACCTCAAATAGTCATATGCCAGATACTGTCAAGATCATATGAAAATCATAGTTTTTTTCAACTGCCAGTTATAAGTATAGTGTATTAATATGCACTTCAAAATTTTTTGTAATATACTTCTTAGTACATATTAGACCTGGGTCTATTAAGGGTTTAAAAATTAATGCAATATACTAGACTCAGGCCTTGTATATACACATTTAAAGTAACTGCAATATGTACGTATGTATATATGTATGTATATAATAATTGTTCTTTGTGAATTTCATACGTATATACGTATGTATGTATGTATATACAAACATTGTTTATTGTGAACAGCTTCACATACAAGGTTGTTTATTGTAACAGCTCAGCTTCACTTACACATTTTATCTGTCATAAGCTATGTTATAAGCTATTTTGTAAGCAAGCTTTTTTTACTTATAAGCTATACTATAAGCTTTTTTTTATTCCAGTAATGAATTATGTTTATAATTTTAAATCTTTTTTCTTTTTTACTTCTGCGACAGACCAACAGACAAACTATATTTTCAAGTAACTTGGTCTCGCGTACAAAAAGCAATAAAAAAAACAAGACAGTTAATATTAACAGTCAATAAGGCGCACACGAACAATTATATATACAAAGCCTTACTTTAGTAGAAACTCTTAATAGAGTTAGTAGAAATCATTTCAGTAGAAATTTCTTTCACTCTTTTATTTTTTTTATACAAAGAAACCCAGTAAGAACCTTCTCAATAGAAGTTATTTAGTTTCTCTTTTTTTATATATTGTAACTTATAGAATCCTAATAAAAATCTCAGTAAAATCTTAACTTTTTACTTCTCGGCTTTTTTTTTTTTTTTTTTTTTTTGCGTACTTCCTTTGCTTTACCTTATCTAATAGAATCCCAATAAGAATTCTAGTCAAAACCTTCAATAGAGTTTGGTACTCGCTTTTTTTTTTTTCTCACAAATTTCTTCTTGAGATAGATATAATTAAACCAAACATTTATGAAACTATTCAAGATGATATACTTGAATTGCAACATATTCAAGAAGCCATTCATGATGACATGACTGAATTTCATACTCAAGAAACTGTCCAGGTTGATATTTCTTTTGCAAACTCTTATGATGTTGGTATGTGGATACTTACTTAAAAGTATTGTTTCGTGTTGATTAATTTTAATATTAAATTCTTGTCCTCAAATATAGAACAAGTTGAGTTGAGCAATATAATACCTGAGACAATTAACGAAAGTAATATTATAATTTCTTTGTTTTATAGTATATTCATGCTAGAGGCGCTTCAGAACACTGATCTATTGCTTTAAATTATTTTAGTTACAGACCTTTATGTTGGCTGTGTCTTTAAGTTATGGGAAGATATTGATATGATTATAGAATCTTATAGTAAAATGCATGGATTTTTAATTATAAAAAAATGGTTAATTCAGCATGAAGATGGCAACATTAGGCACCATAGTTATGGATGTGAATTCAGTAGCTATTATAAATCAAAAAAACAAATCAATATTAATAGTCATCGAGACCGTAAATCTAAGTAACAACAATATAAATAGAATGCAAATTTCAATTGTATCCAAAATTCTCAAGATATAGTTCTTACTACTTTTGAGAATTCGCATAACCATGTGTTATTCCTTGATACTGAATGGTATGCAACAAAATATCGGACTATTCCTGATGATGTCCTCAAAGAAGTTCAGTTTTTTACTGAATATAGAAACCTACCCATTACTACACAATGAAAGTTATTAAAAGCAAGGTTTTCGACCCTATCTATTCTCGACTATGACCTCGCTAACATAATACAAAAATTTAAAGTTAAACTGGATGTAGCTTATAATACATCTTATTTATTGCAAACACTTATTCAATATAAATCAAATAATTCTGGATAGTTCGTTGAGTTCTAACTTGACGAAGAAAATAGATTATCCTAACTTTTTTGGATGTCTCCAATTCAGATTACTCTTTAGTTGGAGTATTATAATGTTATTTTAAATGACAATACTGCTAAAACCAACCAGTATTATATGCCTCTTTTACTTTTCCTTGTTGTTGATAATAATACAAAGTTCCGCCTTGTTATCTAAGCACTTGTATCTGATGAAATAGCTAAGTTGTATAAATGGATTCTAGAATATACTACGAAGATAACAGAGCTACTAGTATCTGAAGAACCTCAGATCAAAACTTGGTAATCAATATGAAAATTTTGTTGATGATTTTTTTTTATGTCATAATAGTGTGTATAAAGAACTCTTTAATGAAAAGTGGTTAGGCCTTTTTGAAAAATATTCTAATATAAAAGACTACTTGATGAGAGCTTTCTACCCTAGTTGGCAGGCATAGTCCTGCGCATTTACGTCAAAAATATTTACCGCAGAAATACAAACCACTTTCTGTATTGAAAGCTTGAACAATGTTATTAAATATGAGTTAATAGCTAACAGTACCTTATGTAATCTTGCTAGTGTTCTTGATGTGCACCTTGAGGTTGAGGTGCAATAGAATCATTTTTTTGAGTACTCACCATATCAAATTGTATAGAAATTATATCAGTTAACTATGATCTTTTTCCTGAAGTTGATAAAGTAATGTCTAAATATCTAACACCTCATATTCTATCTACTGAACGATTAGAAATGGTGCAATGCCTTTATTTTATTGTGAGTAAAGTAGAACTGGATATTGTTGAGGTAAATAAAGCTATTTTAGATTAGTGAAAGCAAGATGCATTACAAAGTTACTATATTTAAATACAGTCAACTCTGGATATAATAAATCTCTATATAATGAATTCTGGATATAACGAACCCAAAAATTTAAAATTTCATAATAGCTTGGTATAGAAAGTGCTATGGGTTCTTAAGAAAACATAGTGATTTTCTATAATGAAACTTTTTTTTTTCAGAACCGGTAGTTCATTATAAAAAGAGTTGACTATACCTAGTTTGTTTGTACATGTTTTTAATTAAAATTACTAATAAAGCCAATACTTTTACTATATAGAATCCTGATATTAATGTAACAAATGGATTTATTGAGGACCTATACAATGCAAAGCAAATTTTATTGAAATCAATGATTGCAGAAGTTGGTAAAAAAAATGTTCGTGAAGTATGGAAGATTACAGATATGCGATCAGAAAACAAAGGATGTGAACATTTTGTGATAGTCATAGATCCAATTTCATATCTTTGTTTATACATGTTTAATATATCTCATGGTGTTATTTGTCGCCACTATTTCTGAATAATGATAATTTTTGAAGTCACAGGGTTTCAAATCTAAATGATCCCTTCACGATGGATTTAAAAGATAAGGAGGTGACAGCAGAAATATGCTATTTTATAAACCAGGAGGCTGTGCAAAATTTTTCGGGTATAATACTTTTTTCAAATCTCTCAACTGTTTCTATGACTGTTACTATGGTTTTACATGATGTAGCAAAAAAAAAGACCAAATATGGCAAGGTATAGAGACTTGCACAGCAGGCAGCACAGCTTGCAGTTGAACATGATAATTATAGTGAGATGGTAGAGTGGCTAAGGCAGTTCATTAATCGAAATAAAGAAATAATGGCTACACACAGCAGATTCATACGAAACCGGTATCTTCTTAAATATTCTGAAGTTCTAGTTGATAATACTTATAGTAATAAAGAAAATGAACCTATACAAATTAAAAATCCATCAGTATCACGACGCAAAGAACGTCCAGAAACAAAAAGATACAAATCATTATTAGAAAAGAAGTCACGAGCAAAATATATCTGTGGTACCTGTGGTCAATCCAGACATAATAGCACAAGGTATCAAAATCGGTAGGCACTTATTTCTTTAATTATTTGTTTATTATAATCTATTACTTTATTTTAATTTGTTTGAATTAATATTATCAGGTTATAATCTATTTCATTTTGCAAGTCAGATGTAAGAAATTGTTACTTTGTCTAAATATAGTCAACTCTGGATATAACAAACCTCTATATAATGAATTCTGAATATAACAAACCCAAATTCAGTAGTAGTTCAGTATAAAAAGTGCCATGAGTTCTTAAGAAAACATAGTGATTTTCTATAACAAACTTTTTTTTTCTTCTAGAACCGTTAGTTCTTTATAGAAAGAGTTGACTGTATATCCATATTTTCAATTAAATTTATTCTTATACATTCTAGTTAAATTTATATAGTCGTCGAAAAAAGTAAATGCGAAGAAGCACCTGCTGATAATACAATTGTATTAAGGTTTTTATAAAAACTTATTATATAATAAGAAAATATAATGAATCTTTTGCAGACTTAAATGAATTATCAAAATTAATTATAGCTTCTGTGATTATGATTGTAATGATTATAGATTTTTATGAAATAAAATAATAAACTAGTGAGAATTTAAGTGATATTAGAGCAGTCAAAATAACTGTGATTTTATTTTTATTTTTTATACTAAGATAATTGTAATTTTTGTGATTATAAGTAATCATTGTAAGTTTGCATCTTGCCAAAAATAAATAATATCTACGAGGTGTTTATTTATAGATAATGATTAACAAAATTCTTCTAAAAAGTTGCTTAACAAAGATATTCAAATATTTATTAGTATTAGAGTGTATACTTGTAAAAGTTAATTACACAATTCTGAAGAATATACATATAAATACTTATTACACTATTCTAACATAAGTACAAGTTTTATAAAATAAAAGTTTATATCAATCAAAAGCAAACTAACAAACTATATCTACTATATCAATAGAGCGAGAGTATTTGGAATCATAAAATTTTCTTTTAAAAAGACGCACTTGCTAATTATTAAAGTTAAGTATTTAATTGCTAGTCTTTTAAAAAGGTTCTAATTTAAACAAATAACTTGATTATAAATTCACATAAAAATCTATAATCATTACAATCATAATCACAGAAGCTATAATTAATTTTGATAATTCATTTAAGTCTGCAAAGGATTT